TTTAAATAGTCAAGTAATTTAAAAATTAGGTTTTTAAATAGTTGAGGATATTGTTGTCATTCATGAGACTCAGATAACATTTTAGTTTCTTATTCTCATTAATTTTTTTTTTAGTTAATGGTATTTAAGATATCATATGTGTTACTAATTTTACCTGTTTCTTCCATTGAATTTTGTATTAGGAATTTATGGTACAATTTTTTTAATATTATATGAATATTTATACTTCTTAGTTATCATATAATCTATTATAATTAAATAATGAATTTTAAAATTCATATAAAATAAAATACTTTTTATTATATCTATAGAATATCTTATAAAAAGCTATGTAAAAGAATTTTTACAAAAAAATTTTTAAAATAGTAGCTCAATAGGACTATAATTACAGTCTAGAAAGCAAAAAGATAAGAACTTGACTCAAACAAATCCTTAATAAAAATATAAAATAATTATTTCTAAATAGCAATATCATAGAAAGAATTATGAAGAATACTAAAATTTGAAAAAAAAAAAAAAAAAGAATTTTCTCCAATTTTTTTGTAAGTACTAAATAGTCCATTTATATAAAAGTAACAATTTGGTCATTAACTTCTTAAATAGAAATCCAATTAATCATCATGGAATCATTTAAGTACCTAATTAAGAATCATAACTAACAATGAAACATTTAAATTGTTGGGGACCATTTTGTCCTTCAAAATAGTTAAATTTCCAATTTTATCCTTCTCTCTTAAAATTTTTAATTTATTTCATTGAGTACTAATTTTACATATTATTTTAATGAATTTTATATTAGGAGATCTAAGTTACACATTTTTTTTCCAAAATTATATCAGATTTCACATAATCACGTTTTAATTAAATGTAGTTTTATAGTTTATACAAAAGAAAATACATTTTAAAATATTATACAAATATCTTATAATTAATTTACAACATGATACTGTTGCGTCATGGAGTATTCGCGGCGGTAGAAAATATAGTTTAAGTTCTTAGTATTGTAGCGAAGATCCAGCACACAACTTAGATAAGTGAAGGGCTGTAGCATTCATAAGACTGACACCCAGAGTTTTTACATGGAAATTCCCTGAAGAGGGGGAAAAACACGGGGCAGGCCCAGTATTTGAATGACCACTAGTATTGTAGTACGTTACAATGAGGCCCTTCCTTGGAGAGAGGCCTTGTGTATTGAACTGTAAGCAATATAACATCATATAGATGCATTACATGGTAGGAAAGTGACAATTATGTCGTTTGATCGAAG